GCCACCGCTAGAGCTACCCGGACGTGGACGCGTCGGCTGGCACCATGTGACTGCGCGGCTCACAAGCGGCGTCAGGCTCTTGCAGATGAGCATGCGCCCGGCTCTGCCCTCTTCCACCACACCGAGACGCGACGCAAGAGCCTCACAGCATCCCTGACATCTCCTGCCACATTCTGCGCGCCTTTTGCGAGCTGTTCCGCGGTGCCCAACAAGGAACTGCTCCCGCCCGTTCGCGCGTCTTCCCGCTATCTCGCGTGCTGCGCACGAACACGGTCCACGGTGCTGCTACGACACGTCTCCGACCATCCAACTCCCACCGAGACCCGCCATTGGGACGTTTGCTACCCTGACATCCTTACCTGCATCTGCATTTTTGGCCCAGCTGCTTCCACTTTGACTGTGAATTGCACTCACAGCGCGAGTCGCTAGTTGCCTCCTACCCCGCCGCCACGCCCGCGAAACCATGATGCGTAAGTCGCGTTCCCCAAGCCGACTTAATTACCCCGGTACTCACGCTGCCATTGCACCAGCAGAACACGCCCACGCCACCCATACAGCAACTATTGCTACCGTAAACAACGCAGAGCCCCAGGCCTCGCAGGAATCAGTCCAGTCTGCTGTGTCTAGTACCTTCTCGGCACCGGCGCTTCCTTCCTCGTCGAGCAATCTTTCCACGGCCACCACTACTGAGACCGACCTCACGACCCCGTCCTCGACCAATGTAGCAGACCAAAGTAAACCTACCGAGGCCCCAATGCCGGAATCGTCGAGTCAGAGTACTGGTGGGCAGGTGCGAGCGGCACCACGCATCGATACCGCTGCTGCCAACGCGCTCCAGACTGGTGACACAGCAGCTGGTTCCATGCCACTAGAGTCTCCAGCAAAGAGCTCCAAGAGAACTGTAGATGGATCTCTCAAGAGCGCTGGGCTAGCGCCTGAAACTCCATCGGCGCCCACCCATTCACACAAGAGGAACAAGAGCATGGATACACACTCAGGTCGCATTGGAGAGGTGCGTAGTATAGCTCCAGGCCATGCTTACAGTCTGCTAACGCGAACGCAGCTATCCGCACAGCTCAAGACGCGTCTTTCCTACGCTATGGTCAAAGTCCAGAACGGCTGGGAGAAGCAGTCGCTCGACGAGCTGGAAGAAAGCCAGTCACAGCGTGGCTCGCCCAACTCTGCTCCTGGGAGGACTGACCATCTAGCTTTCGAATCCCTTGCTACCATCGATCGCCAAAGAAGACCGAGCGGCGTTTCTGACATCTCAGACCAGATGATCATGTCCCCGGCCTCTGATCCAACCCGGTCACTTGCAGGGACTCCAGCCTGTTAGTCGACCCCCAAAACTTACTCTAAACATGCTAACATCTGCCAGCCTACTGGCGACCAGGTACCCGCCCTGCTATGAACGCCGCGGCAAACCTCATATCCATCACTGGCGCACAACACGGCTATGGCCTCGCACCAGCCCCAACCTTCCAGAGTGGGCGAAGACGACGCTCCAGCGTCTCACACGTACCTCCTCCTCTTCTCGGCGCCAGCCAAAGGAAACACTACAGTGATGTAGGAGCGGGTCCACGGTCACCAGCTACCCCTCGAGCAGGCATCCTTCGCATGCCCAGCCAGCAAGCCGAGAAGGACGCCGTCGATACACTCCTCTTCATGAGCAGTCCCAACAACTCACAGCGCTTCCCAGCCGGTGGCCAACCAGCACCAAGTCCACTCCGAGCCGAAGCACCGCAACGACGCGTCATGTTCGAAGCATACCCACCACAAGACAAACGCGCCATGTACCAGCCATCGATGCCCGCACCGCCCCACCACCACCAACACGGACCGTACCCCGCGTACCCAGCGAGATAACAGTAAGAGCGTCTCCGATATGAGAATCCACTCCCCACCCCCTCTTCAACACTATTCTTACGGCTCGACGATCGCATTGCATGGCTGGCGTTGAGATACCCCACTGCACCTATGTTCACATTGTTACTGTCAGCCACCAATCTCCACACCGGACGCATATGTTGTTCATGCCTCGGATGCTTTGGGAGGTTGTATTGATATCGCTTGGCTCCCTTTCTTGTATGAGCTCTGCTCCATTACGCTTGTTTACTTTGGCTCTCTGGCTATGGCGGTTGTTGGCCTCGAGTAACATTTGTATGTTTGAGCGTGTGGATATGTTATGAATAGGTATTATGATTGTGTAACGAATAGATGATATATGTATATTCTGATGTGCGGGCGATGGTGATGTGTGGGGTGACTGTGTGACGGTGTGACGGTGTGTTGAGATGGGTGCATGGGACTGATGGAGTGGGTTGGTTAGGGTATATGTGATTTACTGGACAGTAACAGTGCCGGATGATGCAGTCGTGGGAGAGAAGCTTATAGTTTAAGACATAGGTACAGCTACAGCGCAACAAGCTTACTGCGTTAGGTCGGAATTAGATAATGGCTTTAATTGTAATTTAGCTGCCGACGTTATGACAACATGAACAGAGGTCGAAGCCAAAATCCTCGTTGAAATCGCCATGTTCCGAAATGAGAATGCAGGGTGGATGGTTTTCCTTGCCAACTATGGCTGCTTCCTCTTTCAAGGCTTCCTTGAACTCGGTATGGAGATCGTTTTCAGAGACCAAGATGATGTCGTTGCGGAAGCTATGTGTAGCGGCAGGTACGACTGCTGAATACTGTATACGGATGCCTCATACCCCCGAAAATCTTAAACAGGTCTGCAACCTACATGGAGATGCAAACATGCAAAGCAGATGACCCAACGCCGATGTAGGCTCCAGGGTGTTCCAACTCATGCACTGAAGCTCTCGACAAATACGTTCGCATCTTCTATCATGTCGCGAAGAGCATTCCAGTCAGGGGCTATATTCGAAGGTAGACTTGTTAGATAATCGAAATGGTTGCATCCACCCATCCACGACGCCTTACCCTTCTCATGCACAATTTGCAGGCAGTAGATAATCGTGCGATCACGTCGACCGCATCTAGAGCCGTTGTACTGAATGATAGAGGTACTGTAAAGAAGGAGTAAACAATGCTATCGGCAGATAGCCACCTGGACAGCTTCGAATCGCAACGAGCAATGCTCTAGCAGAAAACATTACCAGACCACGTCAATCTCGAGAAGATCGGCTTCTGTGTACTGGAATGCTATCTCATTCGCAGTGATCGAGGCGAGGGGTAAACGCTTGTGTACCACGCCGCCTGCCGCTACGTCACAACGCCTCGTACCCCAATCTTGAGCACCAGTCCCAATACCAGAAGCGCAGTTGATACCTCTCAACAACTCGCTCCACCAAAAAGATATGCCCAGCGAAAAGGTTGCCGCCGATAGCAATCGTGACATAGCTACCGAAGCCATCGAACGCTACTCCGTCTTCACCAAAGTCGAAAAATGGTGCATCGTCGCACTAGCATCGTACGCAGCGTGGTTCTCCACGCTGAGCAGTTTCATTTACTTCCCAGCCATTCCCACGTTATCGAGAGAGTTGGAAGTGTCTATCAACAAAATCGACTTGACCGTGACGACGTACATGGCGGTCGCCACTTTTTCTCCCATGCTGGTGGCTGATGCCGCAGAGATACTTGGACGGCGGCCGGTGTATGCTGTTACTCTGACAGTATATTTCATCGCGAATCTTACTATTGCGCTATCGAAGACGTATCCCGCGCTGCTTGCTCTTCGCGCGTTGCAGGCTTTAGCGATTTCTGGTATGTGTTATTGCAGTCTTTGAGTCTGCTTCTTACCGCTGTCAGGTACATTCTCGATAGCATATGGTGTTGTCGTTGACATCGCGTCTCCCGCAGAAAGAGGCTCTTTCGCTGCACTAGTATCCTTCGCGTCTGTCTATCGTTCCAATGTCAAGACACAGAATTGCTCATAGTTGCCAGTGTGACAACAGCACCTAGCATCGGGCCAGTCCTTGGCGGTAGCCTCACTTCGGTGGCTGGCTGGCCTTGGATCTTTTGGTTCCTGTGCATCGTATCGGGATCTTGCCTCGCAGCTATGTTGCTGTGCTTACCGGAGACGTCTCGAACTATCGTCGGGAATGGATCGATTCGGCCGACGAAGCCTCTGCTGCCACCTCCGCTCATCATGCGGCACTGGAATGCCAGTGTCGTTGAGCTTGCACGAGTTTGGCGTAAGCCTAATCCTCTGAAGTCGCTCATGATACTTCGACGTTTAGACAACGCGATTATCATCCTAGCGTGCGGACTGCTTTACGTTGTACACACCTGCATCAATGCTTCACTGTCAACCTTATTCGTCGACGTATATCATCTGGATCAGCTCCAAGCCGGACTGATCTACCTTCCCTTTGGTGTTGGCGGAGCTGTATCTACTTTCGTGTCTGGCCGGCTTTTGAATCGAGCATGGCGCAAAGCTCGTACTGCGCAAGGCCTATCTACCGATAAGGTTGGTGGAGACGACTTGGACAGCTTTCCTGTCGAGAAAGCTCGGCTGCAGGTCATTTGGGTACCTATGTTCATGACTGTTGCGTCCATTGTGACGTACGGGTGGGTGTTGCATTACCGAAAGGTGCGTCATATCTTCTAGCTCTACTTGTGCTGATGCTCAAACACTGAAGCCAATGGCCATATCACTCGTCCTGCAGTTTGTAACAGGATTCTGCATGCAGCTCGACTTCAGTGTCAGTTACTTCCCAAGAATCCTCAATACAGAGCCTGAGAGCTGAAGACCGCGCAGATCTACAACACGCTCCTCGTAGACAAGAACAATCGAGCACCGGTAGTCGCACAAGCATCTAGCAATATAGTCCGGTGCGCCTTAGCAGCAGTCACAGTATCGTTTCTGCAGCCCATGATAAACTCAATGGGTGTAGGCGGAACATTCACAACCATGGGCGGATTATGCCTGATTGCTCAATGTTTGTTTCTTGTTGATTACCACAAAGGAACTGCATGGAGACAGAAGCATCTACGTAGTCTGTAGGGCTCTTTACACGACCAACCGTATATGCTCAAAGGAAGCTCGAGCACCTCACCACTGCGACCTCTCCATTTCGCGGGCACAAAAGAGATCTTTCTTGAAGCCAAATCATACATAGCTCGAGACAGTCTTTACTAACCCAGTCTGCTGGCAATGCGAATATCTCGGAGAATTCTTTCTTCTCATGGTTTTGTTGCTTCGTGACCTGTGATGGTTGCGCGAGTTTAGCGTCCGACGGAATTTCCCAGGAACAGATAGAGAAAGTCCGTGACAAAAAGAGTAATCGATCGCGTTTGAGGAAGGACAGTGCTAAGCCGATTTGAGAAGCCAGTCCTTCTGGGAGGGGCATGGGAACGACTATCTGTCGATGGTCGCCGGGTTGAGTCTCGATGCTCGCACTTGTTGATAATGATGAGGTCGCGAAGTAGAGAAACTCTTTCAGCTTGGACTTGGTGCTTCGCGACATTTGAACGAGGATGTGTCGATTGTCCGACGTGACCAGTATGCGCTCCACGGTCCTTGCCGCAGCTTCTTGGTCTGATAGGGCTGAGGTATCTGGCTCAATTGATCTCTCGATACGATACGTGCCAAGATCGTTCAAGTCCCATGATAATATCACGACCGAGTTTTGACCGAAGCCAAGAATGAGCGCTGGATTTTGAGGATGTGTGATCCACTTGCAGTCATGTTCGGGCGCAGGTATTGAGCGCACTACCGAGGCTGACTCGAGTGAAACCGTGCAGAGCGTGGCTGATGTAGCTATGCACAGATGGCTCGAGTCTGGCTGAAACAGCAGCTGCTGTATAGAACCATCCGTAAGAGTCTTGAGTGAAACTTCGAAATGATGTTGCGCAACATCGTCACTGCCTGACGCATTCATTCTCACAACCATAACGAAAACCTTCTTGCCCGAGTCGGCAAAACATATGTAACGACCATCGTGACTCCAGGCCACCTGCTCGATGCTCAAAAAGCCTCTGGAGGTATGCAATTCTGTCGTTTCGTCTCGCGTGGTGTTGAGTAGTATTACGCGTCCGCTTTCAGTACCGTAGCAGTAGTACTGACCGTTTGGCGAAGCTGCGAGTACGGTGATCGCATCTATCCTCCGGGATGTATGAACAGGCGTTATCGACTCTTGCGAAGAGCTTTCAGACTCGCCTTCGGTATCCGTTCCTTTTATTGCACTCTCCGCATATCGCACTAGTGCTGCAGGCTCCCAGGTGTTTCCGTAGTAGCCTCGCACGTCGTAGATGCGTCTGTGATCAGCGCTGAACGCCAAGCCGAGGATGGCGTCTTGAGATGCAAGTTGGTAAATGAGGTGAAAGGTGTTCGTGGTGTATATCTTGATCGCACCCCGTACATCACCCGTTGCGAATAGGTTTCCGTCTCCGCTAACGGTGAGTACTGAAGCGCCTGTGAAGATTTCTTCGGGCTCGCCTCCATATGGATCCCACCTAAAGACTACCCCGTCATTGTATAGTCCCAGGACTTGCGGAGAATGCGGGAGCCACTCTGCTGCAGCGACTTCGCCTCTTGCAACTTCTTTCCGGGCACGCCAGCAATGGCCGATATGATAAGGGCCTTCTACTTCCCACGCGGATAGTGGATGACCACGGTATGCAACTGCCATCAAATTGCCGTCATCGCTAAGTGCCATGTAGCTTGCGGCGTTCAAGAAGTGACCTTCGAGTTCCTCTTCCTCAAAATTCGCGACAACATGCCAAGTCGGCGATAGCTCGTTGATCTCAAGCGAACGTAACTGCTTATCGTCCGACCCAACTAACAACGTTTTGTTATTGTTCACAAAGGCGATGACAAGTGGCCGCGTTCGTGTTGCAGGGTTCGGTACTGTCGCTACACATTCTCCAGTAGAGATTTCCCAGATCTTTGTAGTCCTGTAGCCGTATGTGACGAGTAATGTCCCAGAAGAGTTCAGTTCCATCATGTATGTACGTTCACCGTGTCTGATGGGACTCGTCGCTGTCTCCTCAAAGAGGGATATGTCGAACAAAGACACTTTTCCCGACGCTTTTCCCGAGGCAGCGAGTACTGCGACATGATTTCCCGCAGTCGATATAAAGGAGGCATAGGTACCGAACCCGAATGATAATCTTGCAAGAGAGTCATCCCATGTCTGTGTCGAAATACCGGAAACCATCAGATTTCTTTGCTTTGTTCTACCAAACTGCTGATAGATAGCTGAGTTGTGCGGACAGAATGGAGCAATAGTCTCGTGAATTGTAGTAGGGTTGCGTCGCAGGATGGCGCCGAACTTGCCAATGATTTTGACAAAGTCTACTGCCCAGGTTTCGGCTTGCTCCAGTTCCACAACGTCTCTCCTTCCGATATCTGTTGGAAGCTGAGATTTCCTCTTGTTGACATAGCCGAGCAGATTTTTCGACGCCTGAATGAGTATGCGAAGCCGAAGTTCACTTGCTAGGATCTGCATCCACGTTAGTACACAATGGCCTGTCAGGAATTTGTTTATGACACTAGCCACGGCTTCACTACCGGCTGGCACTGCTGCCAAATGAGATGACCACCAGTTCGAGCTGTAGCTTGCAAATTCCGGTATATCATGAGTAACCTCTGATCGAAGGCCACTAGACATGAGACATCGCATGCAGCTTAAGAACAGCTGCTCATGTGCTTGGCGTCGATCTACTTGGAAAGGTCGGCGGATAGCGCCAAGCAGATACTCTCGAGCCGTCTCATGAATCATTGCAACGTTGCCATCATTATCAATGACCACAAAGCCGCTACAGACATTCTTGATGGACTCTTGAATGTCTAGAAACTCATGTGTGTCACCTTCTAGTGCCTGCAAGAGCTCCTCTATTGTGAGAGCGCGGAATGCACATGTGACACACTGAAGAACGACTGACGCTAGAGCGGTGTCGGCAGATGATTGGTGCTCGGCGATGGTAGCAGCCATCCGGTCGTAGATTGCTTCCATTCCACGGGGAAACTCGTGAAAAGCTTGCTCGACGGCGGAGTGCGTATGACACGAGTTGATCTTTTCTACAGCGAGTCGTACCCACTGAGAAGTTAGCAACATCATAGCATGGTACTGGATGATTGACTTACGAGAAAGTTGTCCTGCGCTTCATGCAAGATACGCTGAATAATATCATCCCTGAAGCTCTTGCTACCAGGCAAGATGAGTTCCCGGTCAACGTAGCAACGTAAATCATCCACATGGCCCTCGATGATGATCGTCTCTTGGAAGATTGTGTCTGGTGTATGCTCCAGACCAGCAGCTATCTCTGTAGTGTCGCGACTGACTAAAAGGACTCGGATAGGTGTCGCAGAACCAGCAAGGTCGGAGAGCAGGCTTATCAGGGCTTTGGGATTATCGGCTTCGTCGAGGCCATCGATGACCCAGTAAAGTGTTTTGCTAGGACTGAGCTTGAACAATATGGATCTGAATATCCGATCCCAGATCGTCCTCGGGTTGGCAGCCTCAAAGTCGACAGCTTCGCTTTCAACCTCCGCTACCTTTTGAAGAAATTCAGGTAATTGTTGCGCAATCTGATAAGCGATGGAACGTAGGAGAAAGCTCAGAGTGCGCTTTCTTCTGTCTGCGAACCGCACGAAAAAGTATTGACAGCAGAAATCGCGCTCGATCAGGCAGTTGATGATAAACGAACTTAGGACCGACTTTCCTCGTGCCGCGGCTCCTTTGAGCCACAGTATCTGATGAGAGGATGTGTGAGGATTGAGCCAATCCACGAAGCGCCGTTCTTCTTGAATCCATTGGTTGGTACCCTGCACCCATTGGTCCCGGAAGAAGATGTAGTCAGTGTTAGGGAACTCGGCGATAGCTAATATGGCTTTGAGATCTCTTGATCGTCTCCTTCTTGGTACACTCTGGCTTCCAGATTGACTCTTCGATATTGACTTGCTCACGAGTGATTTGAGAACGTTCCTCACTGTGATATAGTTTGGGTCGTGAGGGCTCTCATACTTGCAGACACCGTGGTGGTCTGCGTTCAGAGGGTTGGATGTCTCTCCAGGATATCCGAGCAGCGACGAATCCCTTTCTAGCACCATCTTCGCATGTTAGCAGTGAAGCTAAAGTCGTACATGTGCAACTAGGTCACTCACCACTCGCGCTCGTGCACTCTTTGGCCCGATCGAAGTCGGTTGTGTCTCGTAGAAGGAAACGATCTTTAGCTTTGGTGCAATGTGACGAAACTGCTCATTCAGCTTCTGCAACGTAGACGAATTCCGCGTCAGCTCAGAAATGAAAGGCTTGGAATTCGTTACAGGAGTCGACTGTAATATTCGGTTGAGCACATTGGCCAAATTGGTGCCCCGATGTGGGGTGGAGAGGAAGATGATTGCTGAAATGGCTTTGACAATGTTCTCGTACTCTGGATCGTTTTGACCTTGCATATAGGCCTGTAAAATGTTAGTCAGGTACGTGCAGACCGATGGATGGTGTTACCTCTTTCACGATGAGCCCACCCATACTGTGAACTACGAAGAGTAAAGGTACCTAAGATGCGCTTTAGCAAAAGCAACGTTGTATAGAAAGGTGACCTCACTTCGCCCATATTCAGATTTTCGCCTTGTACATCTGTGTAATATTTGAGATTGTACAATAGGGTTTTGGCGAAGTCCAATATCACGTTAGTAGCGTTACTGCCATTCGTGAAATCGGCATCGTAGCCGAAACTCAGAATTCTCGCTAGGCAGATATCCGGCTCGAGTGGCAGGAAGGTCAAGGGCCAGAAGAGTCCAGGCTTTTTGTGCTTCGACCAGGTCATACGGCTACTGCCACCAAGTCCATGGATAAAGACGATGTCGGCTTTATGTCCATTGTCTGGCGTGTATACCACGTTCAATCCTAAAGCTCCAGGGTCTTGGCCACCAGTCAAAGCCATGTGAGTTGGGGACGCGGACATCTGGGACGGCGAAGGAGTTGTCGAGGAGCGTACATCATCTTCCTGGTCTGGCAGGAGCAACGGGTCGACAACGCCTGATTCTCTCCGTCGGCTTCTCCCGCCCAGATTTCGGAAACTGAAGGGTTTCGAGAACTATACAATTGTTAAGAGTGCGATCTGGATATTCGTTCAATAGCACTTACCATCCTGGGCAAAGGTTCTTGCGAACGGTTGCTCGACCATCTTTGGATACGCGACAGCCGTGCTTAGAGATACTTTACTTGCGTGGCGATGTCTGAGCCTCAAAGGGCTGACCGGTCGCATGTGGCATGCATCTCAGTCGCCGTTCAAGTTGGGGGCTGCATGCGGGGTAGTGTTCGTTCGTCTGGGAGTGTCAACACAGCTAATCAGAGTCGCGCAGCCCTGTCAATTAGGGCGCAATCCTGGGGTCCATCTGATGGATGCCTGTAAGGTGACGTCTCTTGAAACCGGAAGGGAGGCGGATTTATCGATAATGATTAAGGGCGGGAGCGATGTCCCGCTCGTGGCTGCTGACCCGCGAATCATCTTACGTGCGGTGAACACCGAAGCTGCTCCCGTGCCACCATCTCAGCATCCAACGTAAGCAGAAGATAACGTACCCGCATACAAGGCTTCCATCAGCTCTTGCCTCTGCTATTCGAGAGCCGACATATCATAAGTGCGGGGTCCCCTACCAGTAGTCGTGTGCTAGTCTTTCATATCCGCCATGATGGATGCATTAGAATGGGAAACCGCAATAGGAGGGACGTTCCGCATTCACCGGGCTGTGACCAGAGGTAGGCGTTCCTTCAACCCCGACTTCAGATTTCGTATACTAAGCACTACGGATCAGCTATGCCTGTCGGTACCAGGATCATATCTGCAGAGCCTTGCGGTGTTTCTGCCTGGACGAAGACAGCAAAGATTGACGTGATACTCCCGGACCAAAGTTCAAAGACCTACTTCCTCAAAGTATGTCGTGGTAGAGTAGAGGGTGTTTGTACTTGCTGACATATCGTTGCAACACACAGTGCGCCACCGGCCAGGGCTCAAAGGCTCTTGTCGAAGGCGAGTACGAATCTGCATGCGCTATCAACAAGATAGTCCCAGGTCTGGTTCCTCGAGCGACAGGATGGGGAAAGTATCTAGATGGTAGCACCCAGGTCTATTTCTTCATTGGGGACCACCACGACATGGACCTCGTGCCAGCCCCAGAACCGGCAAGCCTTGTGGAGAGAGTTGCCAAAATGCACATCGAAGGGAAATCTCCGACTGGCATGTTTGGATTCCACGTACCAACGGTATGCGGCAAATTTGTGCGCACGACGAAATGGGAAAAGACTTGGGCGGCGTGTTTCACCAATCTGCTGAATGACGTGATCAGCTATGACAACGAGACCAACGGTCCTTGGCCAGAGTTTGGTGCTGCCTGCAAGCAAGTTATCGACGCCGTTATCCCAAGACTCCTAGGAGCTCTCCAGTCAGATGGCCGGAACATTGAGCCAGTGTTGATCCATGGCGATTTGTGGGAGCAGAATGTTGGCATCGACATGGAGACCGGCGATACAATCCTGTTCGACCCTGGATGTGTGTATGCCCACAATGAGATGGAGTTCGGCACATGGAGGGCGTCTTGGGCGTGCCATTTTAACTCTCCGATATACATGCGATTGTATCAACGCCATATCGAGCCGTCCGAGCCTGTAGATGAGTGGGACGACCGAAATCGACTTTACAGTATCCATATATATTTGAACGATTCCGCGGGCCATCCGGGTAGTATTTCGAGAGCCACGTGAGTATTCATCTGGAGGAGTGTAGAATCGAGCTGATGAAACCCAGAGCTTACAACGACATGTTGTACTTGTGCGAGAAGTACGCACCGCTGGAGGGCCTAGGCACGTACCGTCCAGAGAATGATGTTAGCGTTACTGGCGCCTACATCGAGCACGAGACCACGAAGATGAGCCATCTCCATCATGCCGTAAAGACTTGATAATCGATATACTCGGGTCAACCCTGCGTCTGAGCACACATCAATCCCGTTGGAGCTGGTGTCTTGGATGCGTTTCAACTGCGGGCATTATCAAGGCGTCGCGATCCTTGATGCGGCACCGATGTAGCAAGCTATTGCGGTAAAGAATGCTGTATCTCCCGGCTCGTCAAGGCTGAAATATGGTTGTGCGGTGCTGGTGATGAGAGAAACGGCGCGTCCCTGCTCAAGCGAGCTCGACGCGTCCGAAGTGGGTACCTAGGTACGCGTCATGCGCTAGCCCCAGAAATCGGGGTGGCAGGCGCTGCCCAAGTGATGCCATCGACTTGTTTTGGCTATCGCGCTCGAGCCTGATGAATATTCTTACGACTAAATAGGCCTCGTGCTTTAAAACGTTACATCGTGTTGCACCAAAGAGCAGGGCAAAGAATCTGAGGACCAATTACCATCAAGCCACTCACGTAGGACATGAGCCCGCACCCCAAAGCTGCACGCTATTGTTCTTGCCTGCATACTCAAGTATCGAGGTCAAAACGAGCTGGAGTAGACGCAGTAGTTGTAGCACTATTGTTCAAAGTCCAACTTTCCAGCATATTACGCTCCCGTATATCCATTGTCCACAGCCTGATACCAGCTGCGACCTCCGCACACGGCGTCTGTTCATGTTACATCAACACGACGGCGCATCATCCAACCAAACAGGAACCTAGATTCAAGAAGAAGAAAAAGTTGCATAGAATTACATATCTCAACTACCAATTCCCAGCCCTAGACCCTACTGCCCCACAAAGAACAAGGCTAGAAAGTAACGAATCAAGACGTTGATGAAAAGTGACTGACTACCGGAGCGATCCCGCTTTTCTCAAAACGCCTTCAAGACACAAAAGTCAAACGCCAAACCAAATGAGTGACATAGGAGATGCCAAAGTTCCTGACCACCAGTTCCAACAAACGAGACATTCCAAGTGCTAATACAGAGCGCTAACTGTGCAGGCTCGATCAAGCCAAACGCTTCAATCGCAAAGGAAGGACAGCCACCTAGGCCTTAGCCTTCTTGGCAAGGTAGTATGTCAAGAGGTTCAAGTGCTGTTCCCGCGCGCCGGCAACAGCTTTCCAGAAGCCGCCATCTTCTTTTGCGCCATCGGAGCCGTTGATGCGTTCGTGGAGGGCGATGCAGAACTCGATGTCTGCTTTGCGTACGTCGGCGTCTTGGTCGTCCATGCAGCGTACAGCTAGTCTGCCTAGACGAGCAGTCTGCTCGGGGGATAGTGTGACGTTTTTAGCGCCGCTCATCTGGACGAGGGATGCGAGAGTGGTCAAAGCCATGGTCGTGGAACGGGTTGACGCTTGGCCTGGTTGGGATGAGACTGAAGACTTGGAGTTTGGCGAGGATGTTGGAGTGGATGCGGGCGTGTCCTCAATCATCGCGAGGACGGTGTTAAGGCAGTCTAGAGTCTGGCCGTACTTGACGATTTCGTCTGCGGTCGCTTCGAGGTCAATGGCAATGTGTGATGTGCTTTCGTACTGTGCCTTTGTTTGCAGGATCGTGCGAAGAACGCGAGAGTAGTACTTTGAAGTCTCCTTGCGGTAGAGGGATAGCAACGCGCGAATTGTTGCTAGAGCCTGTACCTTTAGATTGACAGCTTTCATCTGAGGCGCCTTCAACTCGTGGACGGGTGCCTCAAGGAAATCCAGACATGCCAGTAATAGCCTGCCAAAGTTCTCGTCATTCGGTCCCCAGATTTCTTGGTTCGACTTGACCATGTCCTGCATGCGGCGGAACATGTGGGCTTCGACTGTGCGTCCTTCAATCTTTTTGATGCCGCTTGTAAGTAGCTGTCGGTTCTTCAGCACTTCAGCATCGTTTGTCTCGTAGCTTTGCGTGTGCAGGACACTTCCTGTGCTGTTCGTCTTGTGGTGGCCGCGAGGGCGCTCTTCGTTATCGTTACCCATCATGACATCGCTTGTCATGCTTCCAGTACTTTGGCGGCGCTCGTTGCTCTTCTCGTTGATGGGAAGCTCCTCGAGGACCGGCTTTTCTGATCCATTCTCGACACGTGTGTGCTCCTCGCCAACAAACGGATCCTCAAACACTTGCACTTCGTCTCCGGCGTCGGTACCGCGAGTGCTTGGTCGATCTGGTGACCTCAGGCGTGGGCTGCGTGTCGAAGACCGTAGGCTAGCGCTGTCTAGGTGCCCCATAGACTTTGGACTTCTTAGCGCTGCAGCACGAGGGCTGGGTATCGGCAGTCGACCGATGGACTTTCTCGGCTTCGGTGGCGTGTCATGTGTGGATTGTGTCGTTGGTTTCGCAAGGTTAGGAATGACCATGGTAAAGTTGTCTTCATCTCCCACATCCACAGCCTCATCGTCTCCAGCTACACTTCCACCCAGACCATTCCTTTGTCGAAATGGTATAGTACCTGCGTCATGCTGGCTTTGTGATCGAACCCAAGGCTTCACCATCGATAGGTCCTCCTCTTTTGCTGGGCTCACAGCCGGGCTCTCGCGACGAGAGCTCGCACTAGGAGACTTGCCATGGGCAATGGGTTGGCCAATCCTTGATTTGGGCCGCGCCGGACTAACTTGCGGGCTGTTCTGTGTTTGCGCGCGCGGCCTTGAGCTGCTCTTCGGTACAGCAGGCTTCTTGGTCGCCGTTGGAGCAGGTGTCTTCTCTGGGGTCATGTTGGGCGTGCTCTTTCCTGGTCGTCGGACAGCATATGGATCCGCTGTCGCTGGTCGGTTCAACTCTGGTCGGCGGACCGGACGGCGGACTGTGCCCGACATCAAGGAGCCGGTACCTGTAGAGTTCTTCAGCGCTGACTTCGTTGACTCTCCGGACATGGCAGAGGGTGGTCGCGCCGGACCCGAAGAAGCCGTGGAGAGGTTCGACGTTGTTCTCGCGCCCAAAGACTTGGCCGATTGCGATGTTGGCACTGGTGTATAACTAGCAGCAGCAGAGTTGGGGCGTTCGGGGACACCTTTCGCGGCCGCTAGCTTTGCTCTC